CCTAAACAGATGTTGGTGAATGATGTTTAAGACAAGGTCGATATCTTTCAAGTAAGTATTTAATTTCCCATAAACATCTGTTTGAGGTATAAAATAAGATCCCAAAAGTTTAGCTAAACTGTAATTATAAATAATGTTCATTTAAATTTTTAAAATTGTTAATATATGATTAGATATGGGGATTAATTTTTAAATGTTTTAGATAGACTACATAAGCTAATTTTTTCACCACAATGTGTACTTTCTTGTGGAAAGATTTTTAATGCGGATAAATTTATTTGTTACCAAACCAGATATGCAACTGAGTAAATTTACATGATTAAATCAATAATTTTGCTAAACATGATTAGGAGTTATTTAAACTCTCATTAAAGGATAAAGAGGGGGTAAAAGTATATTTTTAATAGTACAGGGGTTCAGGTGATAATACGTGAAACTTCAAGGGAGGTGGGTGATAATGATATGCATATGTGTTATTCTAACTCACGTATGATTCAATTTTCATGCATATGTCATGGAAATCATGTTAAACGTATACACACATATATTTATAATATACGAACAAAACATATATATGTGTGTACTTCACTCCTCCAGCCATATTGTTGATGAACGGTTGAAGAACGTAGAAGAAGTGGAAAGCCTTTTCGTCTCCCACTTCACTCCTCACTATCTGTTGGGCCGCAGGTATGCGGTGCCAACAATCTGTCAGCCTGCCGGTGCAATCGAACCGCGTGGCGCTTCGCTTGTGCTATAAAGGGGGAGGAGCGTGCTACACTATCAACGATTGCTTTTAGTGTAGCGGTAAGCGCAACGATCCGCAAGTGGTATCAGAGCCAAGATCACGGGTTCGACCCCCAGCAACAGCATGCTGCGCAGTTGAGGCTGGCAGGTGCTGGGGGGGGGGGGGGGGGGAGATTGTTGGGCCGCGGGTATGCGGTGCCAGCAATCTGTTAGCCTGCCGGTGCAATCGAACCGCGTGGCGCTTCGCTTGTGCTATAAAGGGGGAGGAACGTGATACACTATCAGCGATTGCTTTTAGTGTAGCGGTAAGCGCTACGATCCACACTATCTAGATGGTGTATATTCCTTATGTGTGTACTTGAGAGTGGAGGACTGGGAGGACAATGGAGCACTTATATTGTCACCTACCATCAAGGTGGCTCATGTAACAGAAACCGTTACAAATATCCGCCATCATTGCACCACACTTATGTGACATTATTATTGATTAATTCAAAATAATTCAAAACAATGTTACATATATAACATCAAATGATCACTAGTGGGGACTTCAAAAGATGTAGCCTGGTTACCTCCAAACAACGTCAGCCAATCCTCGTTTCCCAAAATCCGATCTAACTTTTCCTCTATCCACCTTAGGGTTCCCCTCCCACGTTCGCACATCCACCGGCAGCCATCAAACGAGACGTTTACCAGACCACTACTCCAAACCGATTCACGGAAGCCCCTTATTAACCATAATGAATGCGGGACACTGCTTTCCGTTCACTTTCAAACATAACATCATTAAACCACCACCTAAGCCGACACTATCGACTGTTGCACAGCTGTGAAATCCCAGCTTTTTTCGAATTTCCTCACAATGAGCAGCATTCGATTAAGTTTCCATCAAGAACATAATTTCTGGCCGCTTAGTTTGCACTAGATCGACCAAAATTTGAATAGTAGCAAGATTCCCCAATCCGCGACAATTTAACTAACTACTCCCATTAATACCTGAGCAATCCCAGGATGAAACCGCTGCGTAGGATCTCTTTAGCCGTCGTATCCATGCTAGTCACAATCGGAACTACACGGCCTAGGTACATTCCTCTGTTATGATCTTCAGGACGCAAAGAAGACCTCACTGTATTGCCAGGTCTCACGTCGCTCCGTATTGCCAGGTCTCACGGCGCTCTGCACTCCCCACAATCTATCTCCTCTCTCGCAAAACTCCGGGACCAAACTCGCCTGAAAGATTCACCGCGCCGCCCGCCAAAGAAACACTTTGCTAGGTCCACCGATGCTTCTCAATAGTGATACCAATTATAGTTAAATTATATTTAATACTCCCTCCGTCCCAGAAAAGTTTGCCAAATTGACTTTTCTTGGTCAATGAGCATCGACTTTGACCAATGATATTTTTTAATGTAAAATTATTCAGTATACGATAGTATAAAAAATATATCAAACTGATCCTTATTTAAAATACTTTCATAAAAGTATAAAATTTGTGAATTATATATAAATATAATAATTAAAATTATTGTTCAAAGTTTGCTATCATTGACCAAGAAAAGTCAATATGGCGAACCTTTTCGGGACGGAGGTAGTATATGTTCTAGACAAACTAATCATTAGGTATCATTGCTCATAAAAACTTTGAATATGAGATTATTTAGTTTATTGATAATATGATAATGACATGTAAGAGAAAAATTAAATTCATAGATGTCGATAATGTGGTTGCTTTAGAACAGTTTAAGGGTGAGTTTGAAAGTTGGTTTCTGGGAGGAGGGGAAGGAATGTGAGGGTTGATGACCCTCCTATTTATGTTCGAGAGTAAAAAATTGAAGAAGATGATTTTGGACGACATTTATAACCCACCAAAATCTTTCGAATGCTCAATTTTTAAATTTCTTCACTTCAGGTATTTTTGAAGGATAACAAAATTAATGAATACAAGTTCCACTATTTTAATTCCAAATTTATATTAAATGATTTTAATTACGAAGTATAATTTTTCTTATCCTTCGTCATTCTGAATTTATAACTTTCAAACAAAAAGTCAAAAATAAATTTTTCTTTCACTTCCCTTCCAATTTCCCTTTCATTCACTTCCCTTCACCACTCCAAACCCCAATGGGAAATTTACATAAATAGAAGTAAATAAGGTTTGAAATTCCAAAATAGAATTACTATGTTTTTCTTCCTGAAATAGAAGTTGTTACTTCCATGTATGAAAAATACTTTCATGATTGAAAAATATTGTCATTAACTATAATAAATTTGTCATGTTAAATGCACTGCACTGCAACTATTTGACAATCACGCATACAAGATGACAGTATATACTGTCATGTTTATCCTATTTCGGAAATACAAATATATTCCCTTCGTCCCGCTAAAATTGTTCCATTTTACATTTTCGAGAAGTCCCACTAAGATTGTCCCATACCAAATTTGGTAAAGATTGTGTGGCGTTAAACCATTCTTACTTTATTCTTACTTTATCAATTTAATATCAATCACAAAAATCCACTTTTCTTAATACTCATGTCACTTTCCCTTGTCCAAATTTTAGTGGGACATAGGTAGTAGTAATCATTGTGAAATAATGGGAAAAGATATTAATCATATTTTTAAATTCCAAACTCAATTTACTAGTAGTTTGGGAAATCTCCTTTAACTATCGAGACTAAGCCCGCCTAAAATCCAGCACACATTTACACTAGAGTATTACGTATACGTACGTTCGAATAAAGTATGAATTTCTACATTGAAATACGGAAATGATAAAATACGTATATTCTACAGTTTGACATGGAGTATAAACAACAATAAACACTCTGCTTCTCTATCTCTTTCCCGTGCTCTTGCTTCTCCTCACTGCAACACCACAAAATTCACCTGAATACCAAGTTACAAAGTTACGCCGAGATACAAAGTTACAGATGCAACCGGAGAGTTGTGGCGGCGGAGGTGGAGGTAGCGGAAGTGAGCTGAACCGAGTAGCAGGACTGACCCGCTTCCTCTCTGCTCCGTCGACATGGTTGGAAGCGTTCCTCGATTCGGATACCGAGAACGATGTCGTTCTCGACCCTCCTATGATTCAATCTCCGAGAAAGCCTCCGCCGCATCCACTCTCCCAACCCTTGCCTACACCATCAGCTCAGCTCAAGCAGTCGCCTATCGGCGGAAGTGGCTCCAGATACACCGCCGATCTGGGTCTGTTCTCCGGTAGCGGGGAAACAGCTCCTGGAGTCAGTGATTTCGTTCGACAGAACAGCTCTCCGGCGGAATTTCTTTCACAGATCAGCTCAGATGTGTACTTCCCAAGCTTCGGCGTTCCATCCAGTTACGACTACGTATCTTCTCCCATCGACGTGTCTCAGTCTGCTAAACGGCCTAGAGAGGCTGATTGTCAGAGTCCATCTTCGAAATTATCGTCTCCCTTGGTAAGATACACATTACCCCCGAGTTTATTATGATATGTAACATGTGGGCGCTGCTCGCTCAGCCTAACCTGAATTTGTTTGAAGCCTTTTTTGCCTCTGCATCGGTTCATGTGTTCTCAGAGTCTTCGTGCCTATAATGGCTATAATTGTGGTTTTTCATCCTTTCTTGTTGGAGGAAAAGCGAATGATAGGTTACAGTACTTTTAGATTTTTGCTAGAGCTGACCGAGCTGCCATTTCTCTTGAAGAGTTGGAAGTCAATGAGTTGGGGTTTTCACCGGTTAAGTCATTTCATATAATTCTGACTTATAAGTACTGGATTGAAGTACATAATACCCTGTATTAATTTAGAGCCAAAAAAGGAAGAAAGATGTGAAATATATTTCTTTTTAATATTTTCTAACTTTCCTTTTGGACTAGGTAGCCCTTAATACCTTCTAGAGGAGATTCATTTCCTGGGATAGTTTTTCAGGGTCATGTGATTCAATTACCAATTTTTACTAAATGATTTCAAACAGTAGATCTTTGAAATTAAAAAATCAATTTGGCTGCGAGTGCCGGGTTTACCTTGCAGCATTAATTTGCGTTGGCTGAGAACACATTTTTCTTCTTCAAGGCCCCTATATAGTAATCTCATACTCTAAAGAGGAATTGATTTTCAGAACTGATAACAATTCCTTATTGCATATATGCATGCTTATAACTCTTTGTTTTCTACTTATCTATATTTGGAAGTATTGAACCTATTACCATAGAGAAAAGATAAGTATTCGTGATCACAATAAGTGTTGTTGCACAGCTGTTCCAAATAAATCATCTTTGTGAAAAACAAAACAAGTTTGCAGTTCAGTTGCTTCGGTTTTCTTGGTAAATACTGAAGCATAACTAATTTTTAGTCTTGATCATAAGTTGATAATTTATACTCCCTCCGGTTCTTAATTAACTTTACACTTTCCTTTTTGGGTCGTCCCATATTAAACTTTACACTTCCTTATTTGCCTTATTTGGCAAACAAATCTACACCAAACAGTGTCAAACAGTGCCAAACAATGTACTCTACAGTAAAGTCAAATTTATTTCCTTAATATGTGTGAAGTCAAAGTGTAAACTTCATCAATAACCGGAGGGAGTACATGTTTTACTGCTGTTAAGTTATTTGACCTAATTTTCCCTAACCCACCCAGGAGGAGTTGAGGGGGAATGGGTTGGTTTACCGTGTAACATGAAAATTTGGGAAAAAGAATGTTTTCTGCCTTATATTATGCTTTTGTCACACCTTTTTTCTATGAACTCTATAGAAACCTAAAGATATATGGCTGTTAACTGCTAAAGTTCAGGTTGGTGTTTTATCCATGCAATACGTTGAATTGGTCATTGATGTCTTTTCTCCCTTTTTATGTTGTCATTTTTTGCCTTTAAGAAAGGAGAACATAGTAGGCGTTTACGCAGTGCTGGAGGCTCTTTGGATGCGGAAATGGAGAAAATGATGGACGATTTGGTTCCATGCAGGGTTCGAGCAAAGCGTGGTTGTGCTACTCATCCCCGAAGTATTGCAGAGAGGGTAACACTCTCTCTCTATATACGATAGTATATATATCTACTGACGTACATGTGCAAACATTTCTTGGAGTTGCGGTGATGAATTTCAGATGCTTTACGTAATACATGAAAAGAAGCTAGCTGTGCTGTTATATCTGTCTATAATAGACATTTTTTTCACCAGGATTAGTGAATATTTCATATGTCATCTTTTTAAGGATACTTTTATTTCTAGTAAAAATTAATGCCATTTTATTTTGAAACAGGTAAGACGGACACGAATAAGTGACAGGATAAGGAAGCTTCAGGAGCTAGTGCCTAATATGGATAAGGTAATAAAACAATGCTAGTTTGTGTGGGCATTTGTTTCCCTCTCTGTCCTTTTTTTGTGTTTGATTCAGTTTACATGACTTGATTCAAGTTATTGACTATATGATTTTGCTATATTTAGTTTACCATTAGTGAATAAATTATATATGCTCACACCATACAGGTTGTGCTACCCCACTACAAATTGCTACCTATTATTTGTATCTTTGATTTAAAGTGTTCTGATGAAGTTCAATGTGAAAATGATTGGCTGTGTGCTGGTTAACACTATAGCATTAGTTACTTGTATTCAATCATGTCTGTATTGTAATTCTCATATTTGACACACATTTGGCTAACTTTATGGTATTATGTGTATGTTAAAAGGGGTTTCTCGTTCTTCCTTTTTTGGTGGACTATGCTTGAGTTGGCCATTATGGCTATGTTGATTTCTTCCATAAGCAGCTATGTGTGATATGACCTGAATCACTTTCCTCTGGCATATTTCATCTATGTTAGCTAAATACAGAATCTGTGAGGAAGAATGGGAATGCTTGAGTTATCTGCTTCCAGTATATTGTCTTTCGAACTGTATAGTTTACTACTCATAGTTCCAGAATCCAGACTCTATATGACTTTGACACCAATTTAACACATGCAGCAAACTAATACAGCTGACATGTTGGAAGAAGCGGTAGAATATGTCAAGTTTCTACAGACACAGATTCAGGTAGTTCAGGCAAATGCTTAACTACTGCTTAAGAATCTTGACATTCATTCATTCAGTGTTTTGCTAAAACTTGTCTCTGGCTACTTTTGCTAATTGGGTGTTTGTGTGTATGTTTTTCACCAGTTAACTCAGTTCCAATCCTATTGTAAATGAAATCTAGAAGATACCAAATCTCGGGAATTCCTGTATTCTCAGAAAGTATCAAATATATTGCTAAAATAAAATTAATGGACAAAAAATGAATTTTATAAACATCATGGCATTTCTCTGTTCTGACCATAGTGATTTTCAATTGTACAGTGACCATGTAGTCTTATTTTTTTGCGCAAGTTAATTTTTTGTAATATTTTAGGAAAACCCATTGTTTTATGCGATTGAAGTCTAGTAAGAGTTACTACGTATTTAATAAAACCTAATGTGTCACAGGAACTGACCGAGCATCAGAAGAAATGCACTTGCTCAGTGAATGAGCAATGAGACGAAGATATTGCCGAGGATGATTTCCCGCAGTAAATAGGCAATAATTTGAAGTTTTGCATCTCAGATATAACTGTCAAACTCCTGCGCACGTCTACATTGTTGGCACTAGAATGATCTGTAGAGTTCAAGCTCAGTCAGCTCCATCTATCTATTTCCTATTATCAAGAATCTGCATTGTTGTATTTCTTCTTGTAAAATGCTGTATAAAGTTGTTTCTTTGAATAAGATGGTCATAATAAAGCTCTAAGATTACTAGAATCCGCATCTATCTAATCTTATTTAAGCTTACAAAAACGTCGTTTGAGACTACAAAACGTTATTTATAGATCTAGGGCGATCACCCATCCTACTCCCTACTCACCCCTAGGGCCGGCTGGCCTTGTAACCTCACCTAGGGTTAGGGGTGGATTCGGGCCGGGTCGGGGCCGGGCTGGGCCTAGGCCCGGTCAGGCCGCTGGTTCGTATCACATGGGCCCGGGACCGGCCCGAGGGTTGGACGGGTCCGGTTCGGGCCGGGCCACCCGCCCGGGTCACGGGTCAGGCCACCCGCCGGGCCGGGCCGGGTCGGTTAATTTTTTTTTTAATTTATATTTTATACTTTATAGTTTTATACAAGTATTAAAAACCAAACTTCAAGTGCATTTATTTGAAATGAAATAGGAACTACATTTGAAAATTAAATAGGAAATATAATTGTTTTTAAAACATGAAATACTAATCAATCATTCAATATTTCAATCGGAATCTCCGGCATAGGTAGAGTCACCATCGGTTGTAGATTCATCCATAAAGTGTTGGGATGAGGTGATGTCAATTTCTTGAGCTCTACGGGCTGCTTTCAACCAATCGTGGTAGCATATAAGCATCTCAAGAGATTCAGCGCTCAACCTCGTTCTGGTTTGTGTTAGGACATTGCCGGCCGAACTAAATTCTTGTTCCACGGCAACCGTTGAAACCGGCATTGATAGCACTTGCTTAGCCATCTTTGCTAAAACCGGGAACATTCTTTCTTTTCCCTTCCACTAGTTTAGTACGTCAAAATCATCATCTTCTTCAAAATCAACATCATAAGTTAAATACAAAGAAATCTCATTAATTGTGCTTTGTTGTGTAGCGGGAGTTGGTTTCGTTTTTTTAATAAGATTGGCAAACGTAGATTTGAAAAGTGATTTTCCTTTAGATGATGTTTGTGTCGGGGGAGGGGGCGCATTGCCATATTGTGCATGAAACTCATTGAATAATGCATAAAATATATCACTAACCTCGTTGTATTCTTTTTTCGGATCAATTGGGTTGTCCTCATACATTGCCAATGGACCAAAAAAAGCAGCATAATAATAATTCAAACATTCTTCTAAAGAATCAAGTCTAAAACGAGGATCGAGAACAAATGCAATACCATAAATATGCGGAATATGTGAATAATATTTTAAAAACTTTTCCTTCATAAAACTAGCAAAATAACTCACATAATCAGCATTCTCAAAATTTGAAAAAGCACCGACGAGATTAACAGCTTCACGAATAAATTGGTTTGAGGTAGGTTTATAAACATGACTAAAAGTTTCAGTTGCATTATTAAAATATATCAAAACATTACAAATTTTTTCACAGGTGTCGATCTCAGCCGAGTTTATAATATAGTTATCATATTGTTTCATAAAAGCAGGAAAATGTTGTTTATATCTAAGAAGAACTCCAATTAACTTATAGGTATTATTCCAACGAATAGACAAATCTTTAGGAAAAGCCACATATCTCTCACCTCTTTCTATCAAATAATCATGTCGTTTTTTCCTAAGTTGTCCATTACCCCAAATACGTCTAATCCCCCCCTTGACTACCTCCAACGATGCTCCTAACGCTTTTAGACCATCTTGCACACATAAATTTAGAACATGACATGCACATCGTTGATGAAAAAATCTACCCATCAAAGAAGTAGAACCACACAATTCACGCAATCTAGGAATAGCAGCAATATTATTAGTAGCATTATCAAAACCAATAGCAAACACCTTATCAATTAAATTATACTCAATTAAAATACGCTCAATCAAAATATAAATATGTTCAGCGGTGTGACGATCATTAAATTCACGGAAAGCAAGAACACGTTTATGCATATGCCAATCATTATCAATATAATGTACAGTCAGACCCAAATAATGTAAAATATGATAAGTATCCTCCCATATGTCAGAACATACAGTAACACGTCCATCAAAGTTTGCAAAATAATTTTGTAACCTTACCTTTTCCGCACCATAAAGCCTTGAAATTTCTTTCTTGACCGTTTTGCGACTATAACCTCTATATTGCGGATTTAAACAAGTTTGTGCATAATCACGAAAAGCAAGACTTTCAGAAAACAAATAAGGCAAATTTTCTTCAACAAGTAAGTTAGCCATACCTGTCAAATTTTGTGCATCATTGTATGAGAAATTACCAAAAGCTTGTTGGTTATTTGCAAACCTCGATATTTGCGTTTGCTTCCCCGTTCCGCCGCCTAATTTTGCATACTCCACCGGGTGTTTGGACTTAAGGTGTCTTGTGGCGGATCCGTATCCGCCGGAAATCCCCAAGCTATAGTTTTTCTTGCACCAATTGCAAGTTGCGGTCCAATTCCCGGTGTTCGGATCCTTCCACTTAGAAAAGTTATTAGCCATTAGTTCAGATTTACTTTTTTTTGTACATGTTTGGGATGATGCAGGTTGGTCGGCGTCATGGCTGCCGCCACCCTCCTCCTCCTCGTCGTCGTGGGTCTCCGGAATTACTTCCTCCACATCGTCGTCCTCGTCCTCGAGCTCTTCTTCGTCAATGGTCCTCGGTTGGTCTTGAAAAAAGCGGGAATTATGTCGGTGCAATTCTTGTTCTAGTTGTTCATCGGTCATCGCATCCCCATCCCTCCTTGCGTAACCCGTATCACAATCATCTCGACTTTGAGATGAAGAGCCGATATGTGATTTACCTTTGCGGGATCTCTTCCTCGCAAGCTCTTTCGTTCGGTTGCGCTCGAGGTTACCCATATCAACCGAATATCTAGGACGATCCATCTAAAAAATGTAGCGATTAATAAAAAATTGTAAAAAAGTAATTAACTATTTATGTAACTAATAAATCGAGTTATAGCAAATTAACTAGTGAATTAACTAGTTTTGTGTACAGCATATTTTTTTAAACTAGAGTCAAATGTAGCAATTAATAAAAAATTGTAAAAAAGTAATTAACTATTTATCTAACTATTAATTCGAGTTATAGCAAATTAACTAGTGAATTAACTAGTTTTGTGTACAACATATTTTTTTAAACTAGAGTCAAATGTAGCAATTAATAAAAAATTGTAAAAAAGTAATTAACTATTTATCTAACTATTAATTCGAGTTATAGCAAATTAACTAGTGAATTAACTAGTTTTGTGTACAACATATTTTTTAAACTAGAGTCAAATGTAGCAATTAATAAAAATTTGTAAAAAAGTAATTAACTATTTATCTAACTATTAATACGAGTTATAGCAAATTAACTAGTGAATTAACTAGTTTGGTGTACAACATATTTTTTTTACTAACAATGAAATTAATACACTTTAACTTTAACTATAATTAGAATTACAACTAGTTTTTTAAACTAGAGTCAAATGTAGCAACTAGCAATTAATAAAAAATTGTAATAAAGTAATTAACTATTAATCTAACTATTAATTCGAGTTATAGCAAATTGTACAACCTAATTAACTAGTTTTTTTTTCAAGTAACGTTAATACAAAATTAAACAAGTGTAAATAATAGAATAATTTCGTACCTCTTTCGGACTTTCGGTCTTTCGGAAGTAATAGAATGACTTCAAATTATTTAGATATAATTCCAACTATATTAATAGATATAATAAATATATAAGTAATATATAATTAGATAACAAATATAAGTAATATAATACTATTTATATCTATTTATAGTTTATATAAGTAGATAATTAATATAAACTATAAATAATAAATATAATATATTGGAGAATGGAGAATAAGAGAATTAGAGAGTAGAGAGTTAAGAATAGGATTTAGGAAGAATTGGAGAAGAGATATGAAAAAATGTTTAAGATCAGGAGTATTTATAGGTTTTTTTACCCCCCACCCCCACCACCCCCCACCACCCAACCCCCCCGGACCCCCTTGCACCCCACCCAACGGCTATATAGCCGTTTGGGTTGTCCCCAGCCCACCCATAACGGCTAGTAAGTATTTAACAATTTTTTTAAAAATAGGACCGTTGGACCCGGACCCGGGCCCGACCCCGACCCGGCCGGGCCGGGTCACATTTTTCCGGAACCGTGCCCGCCCCGCCCATTCCCACCGGTTCGGGTCTACACCCGGTCCTGGGCCCGCACAGTACCGTGTCGGGCTGGGTCACGGGCCGGGTGGCCCGAACCGAATCCACCCCTACCTAGGGTGGATTGGGACGGGTCGGTCCGACCCGGGTCAGGTACTGTTTAGGCCCGACCTGCCCGTTACTGTACAGGCTGATGGCTATAAGTAGGGATGGACTCGGGCCGGGTCAACCGGGCCGGTACTGTTTCGGCCCGGCTCGGTACCTGGGTCCGTGCCCGGTTCAGGCCATTTTTTTTTGTTTTTCAAATTCTTTAAAAGGTAAATGGGTTGGGTTGGGTGTTTTGCAGGGGTTTGGGGTGGGGGGTAGGAAGTAATTAGAAAACCAAAAATAAATAAATAATAATGTACCTGGCCCCGAGGTTCGGCCCAGCCCAGCTAGGGCCCGAACCGGACCCGGTAGCTACCCGGGCCGGTTCCGGGCCTCAAGAAACAAAAAAAAAGCCGGTCAGGCCCGGCCCGAGTCCAGGTGGTACCGGGCTTGAAATCCTTAAGCTCGAAGCCCGCCCAGTCGCGGAGCCCAACCCGGTTCCAACCCGCACACTCACCATTGGGAAAGTTTACTTGAAAAAGAGTAGATCTTATTTTAAAGCACTGCTTCAATTAGGCCTACGGTGCAAATGACACATAGTACCTCAGTCCCAAAGAACTTTGCCAAGTTTAAAGTATGTGAGAAATAAGAAAAATAAAAATTTTATGGTTGAAGTTTGTGTAGAAGAGAGAAAATGAAAGAGAACCACTAATTAGTTGCTTTAATAGTAAAGTGACAAAGTTGTTTGGGACAACCAAAAATGGAAAGTTAGCAAACTCCAATGGGACATAGATAATATCATACTCCCTCCGTCCCTTACAACTTTGCCAAGTCCGATGGGTATGGA